AATTAGTTTGTGTTATATATATGAAAAATATTATGTAAATTAGTGTTATATATTATGCAAATGCTTGATATTTAGTTAAAAATATTAGGCAATCCATCAATTCGTCCTAAACTGCTCAAACCGCAATTTAATTATTTGCCAATCTACCAATTTGTCATTTGATTTATAATTTTACTTTTAAATCACCCGAACTGCACCACGCATACCCTTAGGCATTGTTTGGGCCCGTGATGCCTAACACAAGCCCAGTTTCGATGGTTTGAACAGTTTGTTTTGTCAAGCACCTCGTGTATTTCATCTACAAAAAAATTAAATTGATATGATAATTATAACTTGTTCAATTTATTAGGTATGTCACCAAAAAAATATATGGTTTATTTTTAAAAATACAATTGTCATCCATTTTTTGGTGATATACACATTAAATTGAATAGGTTATGATTATCTGATCGATTTAATTTTTTGTGTAAATGAAATATACAAAGTGTCAAACAAAATGAACGATTCAAAAAATCGAGACAGAACCGAGACGGGGCCCATGTTAAGTCGCATAGGCCCAAATAGTACTCACTAATCCAAATTTTAGATTAGAAGGCATCTGACTTCTTTTTCAATATCCATTATCTTTTATTTTTTTATTATAATCCCTCAATTAAATTATACTTTTGAACAAAATTGTAGCCCTAACATTTCTAGCGATCACAACCTACTACTCACTCCGCCTCCGCCTCCGCCTCTACCACTGCCTTTCCCAAACCTCTGATGCTTTCTCCTTTCTCTCTAGTCCATGTGCTTCTTATTTTCCTTTTTGTTCTTTATTTTCTTCTTTTTGTTCTTCTTTTTTTCTTTCCATTGCTCTCTCCACTCTCTCTCTCTTTCTCTCTTTCTCTCTCTCTCTCTCTCTTTATATGCATATATATATATATATTTTCTCTCTCACCCATTCTTCTTCTTCTTCTTCTTCTTCTTCTTCTTCTTCTCTTGCAACTCACATTGCCCTCTTCGATCGCTATTGCTGCCACGTTTCATAGAAACCCCTTCACAATCGCTACTCTATAACCTTCTCTATTAGCATTGCAAACCTAGATCTAGGTTTTTCTTATCCATTTGCTTAGAAGAAGAAAGAGGTGGAGAAAGTAACGATGAAAGGAAGCAATAACTAGAAGAGGTAGTGGCCGACTATGGCACTATTTAGGGCTAGGGTTGGGTTTGTCAGAGAAGATGATAGTAATTTGGTACTACATGAAACTTTGTGGTGTGTATTGAGACAAAATTAATATATTCACTTGTGTATGGTGTGAATTGAGTAAATGATAACCAAATGGTATGCAGTGAAACAAATAATGTTGTGTAAATAGAATTTCCTTACTGCTAATCCAATTCTATAGATTGGAGATAAAATAACTATTGTGCCCCATACTTCACAAAAATAACAAAGTGTGTGTTTGGTTTGAGTTTTTTGGATTAAGTTTTTTAAAAATTAAATTTTTTGTATTTCGTATTTTTTTGTTTTTAGTGAATATTTTAAAAAGTTTAAACATTTTTTTTACTCTTTTATATGCACCTTACGTAGATGTATCTAAAAAATAAAAAAATTGTGAAAAAAATATTTTAAAAAATTAATATATGCATAAAAATATGAAAAATATACTGAATTATCATATTATTTTAGTATTTTTAGTATTTAGTGAATTCTTAAAAGTTTTTTTTAACAAAAATTATACTTTTTATGTGTCCAAAAATTAAAAAAATTGCTTAAAATATTTAAAAATTCAGTAAAAAACAAAAAAAACACAAAAAATAAGAAAGTAAAATTTTCTGAAAAGTGTTTTGGAAAACCAAAAACAAGCAAAGTAAAAGTTACATTCTATATATTGAGTGTTTTTATGTAATTTCATTTATTTAATTCCAATAAATTAATATTACCACATTAGTATACTAACAAATACAATTTATCTTATATTTTTAATCTAATACCGCCACATTAATAATTTTATAATTTAATTTTACAGTATTATTAATCCCACATAATCTAATCATTCCAACAAGGAAACATGACTTCACTAATTCCATGTATTTTTGTCCTTACCAAACAAGATTTGCCCATATCAGCATTAATCCAATTTCATTCTCATAGACGAATAACAAACGTGGCCTTCGAGTACCAAGCAATTTAAATATGGGATAAGTCATCGTTTGACAACTTAATATTTTAACTTAAAAATTAAAAAATCACTAAAAATTTAAAAAACTAATAATTTATATAAAAAAGTTAAAGAATTTTTTCTCTTTACTTTTTACATATCTTTTCGTAAAAAATCAAAAAGTCATTCCAAACATAATCAGCGTGTTTGATTTCAATTTTTTGGATTTAATTTTCTGGAAATTGAGTTTTTTGTTTTTCGTGTTTTTTTTAGTGAATATTTTTAAAATTTTAAAATTTAAAATTTTTTTTAAAACTTTTTTAGATGCACCTTACTTAGATGTATCTAAAAAATAAAATATTTGTAATTTTTTTTAAAAAAATTAATAAATACACAAGAATACGAAATATGTACTAAAGTCTCGTTTTTATTTTTTATAGTTTTTGTATTTAGTAAATTTTCTAAAGATTTTTTCACAAATATTGTACTTTTTAAGTGTATCTAAAAATTAAAAAAATTGCTTAGAATATTAAAAAAAATTCAGTAAAAATAAAAATATACGAAAAATAAAAAAATTCAATTTTCTGAAAAGTAAATCCTGAAATTCCAAACCAAACCAGTTGATTAATTTTTTTGGCCTCATATTTTAAAATAGCATTTTTCCAAACGACATTTGAGATTTCCTTAAAATATAAATTATTCTTTGTGTTTCTAAAAATTACATTTTGCCCTTTTAAAGTTTCTAATTTTATAACAAATAACTACTTTTATTAATAAATTATGAACTCAATTAACAGTTTTTAATGATATCATAAATTTATTTCAATCAATAATTCAAGTAATTTTATTATTATATAGGAGAACAGTTAGGAATTTTATTTTTTTAATTAATTCTGTTAAATAAAAAAAATCTACCAATGAGGTATTTGTAATTTTTCAAATGACAAAGAATAATTCGTATTTTAAGTAAATCTCAAAAGGTATATTTGTAATTTACCCTTAAATATATAAAGTCCTATTATCTCTAAGAGCGGGAAATAAAAAGTGTAAATTATCAAAATATTTATAATCTGAATTTTTTTAACACAATTCAATACAATTTTTTTTATTTATATTTTTTTAATTACTTTTTCAAGGATCATTTTTAGTATTTTTGTTTTTCAAATTCAATCTACATTTGAGATGTGACCAAATTAGTTAAAAAATTTAAAAACTATTAAAAATGTCAAAAAATCATACAAAAAAGTTAAAAGATTTTTTTTTGGTCTTTCTTTCTATTTTTAACATGTCTGTTAGTAATAATTCCAGAATATTTCAACTTTTTTTCATCTTATATTTTACTAAAAAATAAACAAAATTACTTTCCAAATCAACCCTTATAATCGAACAAATGGTGCAAGTATATTAAAAGTTAAGAAAATTACCATTTAGTGATAATTTTTAAAACTTATTACATATTTACAAAAAAAATTTATAATTTTAATTATTAATATTTTTAAAATTTATCAGTTAATTATAATTATTTTTTTAAAACTTCCACAGGCATGGAATTTCCGTTTAAAAGTGGTGTTGCAATCTATAATTTATGTTTATAAAGACCAAAAAAAATAAAATAATAATAAATAAATAGAAAAAATTACAAATATATCTTTTATTTAAAATATGAATTACTCTTTGTAATTTTGAAAATGACATCTCCCCTCCTGAAATTTTTAATTTCAAAACAAATGATTCCCTTTATTAATAAATTATTGGTTTAATTAATAGTTTTAATGATATTATAAATTTATTTTAATTAATAATTCAAGTAATTTTAGGCTTTTGGCATACATGGTTTGGGCAAAAATAGTGACAAAAAGGCAAAATAGGTTAAAAAATTAATAAGACAAAATGTCACATTCAAATCATAATCATTTCATTTTTTTATTCACAAAAGTCAAAAACGTAAAAAAATTTCAAATTACAAAAGCTAAAAAGCTAAAAAGTCCTAGCTAAAAAGTCAAAAAGTCACGAATTAAAAAGGCCAAAAAGTCATAACTAAATAGTTAAAAAGTCAACACACATTCTAAACGGAGACTCAATATTTTATAGGAGAACAGTTTAAAATTTTATTTTATTTAGTTATTTCTGTTGAATAAAATTTTTTAACAAGAAAATAGTTTGTAATTTTTTAAACTATATAGCACAATTTATATTATAAATAAATTTCATTGTACTTTACCTATAAAAAAAATTATAATCTATAAAAAAAAAAAAACTATAATTTATTATAATATAGGTTACAATAACTACATCAATTAGGCCAATATCTTAATGCAATCACAAACTTTGACAAAGTGTGTACATGACGGAAAGAATGGAGCATTGTAAAAAAAATAGCATGATGAACGATTTGGTCCTTCTATCAACTTATTGAGGAAGTATTATTTTGTCTCTTAAATTTTTTTATATATTTTAATTTGATCTTTAATTTTGATGACCGTTAATTTTGATTAATATCAATTTTATATTTTAATTTTGATCAATTTAGCTCATACCATTTTATTTTATCTACAATTAAACGGAATGTGCTGATGTAATATTAAAATTTATTTAAAATTTTATTTTATCGCCAAACTACACTTTAAAAATTAATTTACCTCTTACATCAGCACATTTCATCTAATTATAAATGAAATGTAATCACAGAAATTAAATTGATCAATATTTAAAAAATTTAAATATGAAATTAATATTAATCAAAATCTAACAGTAAATTAAAAAATAGATGAAAATTTGGAGGCCAAATGATATTTTCTCTAATTTATTTCCTTGCTACTTCGTCATTGAAGCGCCTTTAAGATCAGCTTTTGCGGATCACTATTCTCTCATTGTCTCTCTCTCTCTCTCTCTCTTCACTTTCCTTGTAGCAGATATCGGATCGGACTCACGAACTGGAACAGCATTGATTTCAATCGTTTTGGAGTTCAGATCTCTCTCTCTCTCTCTCTCTCTCTCCAGAGTAAGCTCTCTTCATGTTCATCTTCTATATTACTTCCATGAAGACACACACAACACAGTCATTTCGTGCGATCACTGAGTCGAAAGTCACTCAGTTCAATTGCTTTGAGGTTTTATCGTGACTCGATTTGCGATAGTTTTGCTTTTGTGTATGTTCTGGAAATTTTTGGATTTTTTTTTAAAAATTTATGTTATATAAATTGTGTTGTGGCTGTTTTGGTGTGATCATATTGAGAATTGAGTATGACATTTTGTGTGTGTGTGGTTTTACAGGTGAAAAATGGCTCAGATCCTACTTCATGGCACGCTTCATGTCACGATCTATGAGGTTGATAGGCTGCACAGCGGTGGCGGTGGGCCGAATATCTTCAAAAAGGTATATGTGATTCGAATTCTCATGGATCGGAAAGAATCATACTGGTTTAGTCTTTTTTCTTAAAGCTCCATCTGGATAATGCCTTTTTGTCTTCCTTGTTTCTGAAAGCAAATTTTGCCTTTTTCCTTTATTTTCTTTTTAGGTTGTGTTTGGAATTTTAAGGTTTTGAATGCTAATCTGCCGAGTGAAAGAAAAAAATTGAATGAATAACAAGTTATTGTTATTATTTTTATTTATTTTCGCTTCGCTCCTCAAATACTTTATCCAAACACAGCCTTACTTTGTCTTCTTTAAATTAGCTAGCAGAAAATGTAATCGAATGAGGTATTTCTTTTAATTTTGATGCGTGATGTACATGTTGAGATCTGAATATTTATTCAGTAGTCCCAGTAGACAACATGACACTGTTTACTTGGTGATCCAAATCAATTATGGAAAATTTTATAGGTGCCTTTCTTATTTAGTTAGGAGATCAAGGATGGTCCACCTAGTGTGTATTGTGATTTGTCATTGGTCATAAATACCATGTAAACATTGTCATGGTATACTTCAAGAGTATCTAATAATTTTTGGATCGCTATACAACTTTAAGTTAATTTTACTTTTTTAAAGAGTACCTGGTGTTTGATGTTTGCTTGAATATTTTGGTACAATACACAACACTCTAAACCCTGTTCACTGTTGAATCTGCAAATATCTAATTATTGAGCTCTCTTTGTTTTTGTAGTGCCGAGATAGTTGTTCATGGATGTAACAATCAGACTAATCTATATATGTCAAAATCATCAAAACTAATCCAAAAAGTATGTTGCATATGGTAGATGCATTTTTTTTTTTTTTAAATCAAAATAATTACATATCACTGACATATTGTTCAACTCCATTGCGAGTTGTGTTGAGAATTAGCCAAGCCCAACTTGTAACCTGAAGTTGTTTTCCCAAGTCCTACCGGAAAATAGTAAATTAAACTTAGGCTAGACCATATTGCCTGAGTTGCCAACCAATTTGAGTTTTTCTAGGCTAATTGATTTGTTAAAACTTATACCCTACTAACATATTTTCTGGGGGTAAAATCAATAATAAGACCAAAATAAATAATTTATATAATGTGCGAGAGACATCGAGAAAATATAAATTTATAGGAATGGTTATACTACTGGGTTTACAGTTGTATTGTACGTTTAGAATATGGTTTAGTGTATAGCCTACGTGGTTTCATTTTAGATCTATATTCCTGAAATCATGTTGATAGATAGTTTGATGCCCCCCACCCCCCCCCCCCCCCCCCCCGCGTCCATTCGGTTTTACTTATATGTTATCTAAAAGAAGGAATGGAATGGTTCTCCTGATTATAAGGATTATGGTGTATTCATGTTATTCTGCTGGTTAAGTTAATTTAAATTTTAACTAAAGTGCGAAGATGAGAAAGCCAATTCAAACCAACATTCAAAGTTAGACTGGTGCAAAATGCAACTATGCTTAAACATTGCAGTTCTATAGCTACAGCATTAGGCAAGTTTGTGCAAGTTTTTGGCTGTAATGTCGGAGCATTTTGGTTGGTTTCTTCATGGAGAGCTCATTTTGTTACTTCTTGCTGCCTGAAAGTTTACATTCTATCACTTAATGATTTTCCAGTGTCCTTCAACGCTGGAAACTTTTGAATGTTAATTGGCAGCCAGTATGAGCCCTTGTTATTACTTGATCACTGATTGGATGATTTGACTAATAACTTTGTTTTTATTTGTTTCTTGTTTAACCTTCTCTATTGATTTACCTGCTTAATACCTGACCTTGAATTCTTTGTTCCTTTGGAACTTGTACAAATTTTGAGGTTGTGTGTGCATCTGATACACTTTTATAGTTCTTTGGCTTGGACTTCTGGTCTTCATGTTCAGTTATTTTTACTCTGAGCACACCTCTTTGAGGAAATTTTATTTTTTGATAATTTCTCCTTGTTTCTATTTGGATGCATGGTCATTCTATTCATTGACTAGCATTTGGAAAATTAATTTAATTGTTGATTTCCGGGTTTAAGAGATTCTTTTGTGGTGCAAATTAATTCAGTGTAAATTAATTTAATTTTTCATTATGTTTTCTTCATTAGTTTATATTTCTAATTGGTGGATTATTCTTGTAGCTTATGGAAAACATTGAGGAGACTGTTGGTTTTGGAAAAGGAACTCCCAAAATCTATGCAACTATTGATCTGGAGAAGGCTAGGGTTGGTCGGACCAGACTCATAGAAAATGAACCGAACAACCCTAAGTGGTACGAGTCTTTTCACATTTACTGTGCCCATCCGGCTTCACATGTTATATTTACTGTCAAAGATGATAATCCCATTGGGGCAACTCTGATTGGAAGAGCTTATGTACCTGTTCGAGACCTCATTGATGGGGAAGAAATTGATACATGGGCTGAGATCTTGGATGGTGACAAAAATCCTATAAAAGCGGGTTCTAAGATCCATGTGAAGCTACAATATTTTGATGTCACTCGAGATCGTAGTTGGGCTCGTGGAATTAGAAGTTCTAAGTTCCCTGGAGTTCCATACACATTTTTCTCACAGAGACAAGGATGTCGGGTTTCCTTGTATCAAGATGCTCACGTGCCTGACAAGTTTGTTCCAAAAATTCCTCTTGCTGGAGGAAAGTATTATGAGCCCCACAGATGTTGGGAAGATGTCTTTGATGCAATATCTAATGCACAACACTTTATTTACATTACTGGCTGGTCTGTTTATACTGAAATTTCCTTGATAAGGGACACAAGGAGGCAAAAGCCAGGAGGAGACATCATGCTGGGTGAGCTGCTTAAGAAGAAGGCAAGTGAAGGTGTCAGGGTTCTAATGCTTGTTTGGGATGATAGAACCTCCGTGGGTCTACTGAAGAAGGATGGATTAATGGCCACCCATGATGAAGAAACTGAACATTACTTCCAAAACACTGATGTTCATTGTGTCTTATGCCCTCGTAATCCAGATGATGGTGGAAGCATAGTCCAAGATTTACAAATATCTACCATGTTCACACATCATCAGAAAATTGTGGTGGTGGACAGTGAGCTGCCTTCTGGAGGATCACAGAGGAGGAGGATTATGAGTTTTGTTGGGGGTATTGATCTTTGCGATGGCAGATATGATACCCAATTCCATTCCCTTTTCAGGACTTTGGACACGGCACATCATGATGATTTTCACCAGCCTAACTACCCTGGTGCTTCAATCACTAAAGGTGGACCAAGGGAACCTTGGCATGACATTCATTCCAGACTTGAAGGACCCATTGCTTGGGATGTTTTGTTTAACTTTGAACAGAGATGGAAAAAGCAAGGTGGGAAGGACTTACTCCTTAACTTGAGAGAGCTTGATGATGTTATCATTCCTCCATCTCCAGCGACGTTCCCCGATGACCATGAGACATGGAATGTTCAGTTGTTCAGATCCATTGATGGTGGGGCTGCTTTTGGCTTCCCTGACACACCTGAAGAGGCAGCAAAAGCTGGGCTTGTCAGTGGGAAGGATAATATCATTGACCGAAGCATTCAGGATGCTTACATTCATGCTATCCGACGCGCTAAGAACTTCATATATATTGAAAATCAGTATTTTCTTGGAAGCTCTTTTGGCTGGCGTTCAGATGATATCAAGGTTGAGGATGTTGGTTGTTTGCATCTAATTCCAAAGGAACTTTCCTTAAAGATTGTTAGCAAGATTGAGGCCGGGGAGAGGTTCACTGTCTATGTTGTGGTCCCAATGTGGCCGGAGGGAATCCCAGAGAGCGCATCGGTTCAGGCAATATTAGATTGGCAGAGGAGGACAATGGAGATGATGTATAAAGATGTTATTGAAGCTCTCCACGCCAAGGGCATTGAAGAGGACCCTAGGAACTATTTGACATTTTTCTGTCTTGGCAATCGGGAGGTGAAGAGAAGTGGAGAATATGAACCTTCAGAAAAGCCAGAGCCTGACTCGGATTATATTAGAGCACAGGAGGCTAGGCGCTTCATGATCTATGTTCATGCAAAAATGATGATAGGTAAGTGGCAGCTTTGAAAGTTTTTACTTTGCAATCCCAAATTTCTGTTTTGGTAAGTCCCTACTTTTTGTACATAATTTCCATTTAGTCAGATTAACAGTGTTGATATGGTATCAATGCAGTGTTAGAACTGAATGAATTTTCTAGAAGGATTTATTTTTTATTTTTTATTAAAAAAAAAAAAAAAAACCAATGATTGGTCTTATAATTCTTTGAGGAAACTAATATGCAATTTGAGTCAAGCCTTCCATCCAAGTACATTAATTTGGTTCCTTTTAGGGTTTGATTCTATAAAAAGCCCTTCTTCAACTTTATTCTGCTTGCTTTATTTCCCAAATGTCTTGCAAATGTGAGCTACTTTTCCAAAAGGCCAAACTACCTCTGGACCTCACTCCCTTCACAGATACATAAGCATCCATCAGGCTCAGTTACCCTTCCATTTTTCTTGTTGTCTTGATGTGCCAAAGTTCTCAAACTACCTCGGTAGACGTGTCTCATGTCCAAATCCCTGAACAGCATTTAGACTTGATTCCATTCACGGATAATGTAGGCACCCAATCGGCTATGCCCATTTCTCATCCATCTTACGCGTCCTTCGTTGAAATGAATTTAGGATATAAACTCTAATACGAGATTAAAAAAGATTACAAGTCTTTGTTTCTTTTTATTAGTTTTGGGATATTTTATTGTTTATATGTAGTAGGTTATAACATAAACTTTTGAATGGCTCGTATGTTATGATTTTGTTGAAATTTACCACTTTGCCAGGTAGATAAATCTCAAGATGTCTATATTTTCTCTGGTAATGTTTCTCTTTTTGCCGCAATGCACACTCTCAAATATACACCCCACATGTGACACACCTGTGCACACGAGAATTTTAGATTTGTGTGATTAACCAATGTTTATTGCAGTTGACGATGAATACATAATAGTTGGATCTGCCAACATCAACCAGAGGTCAATGGACGGTGCCAGGGACTCCGAGATAGCAATGGGAGCCTACCAACCGTATTACTTGGCAAACAGGCAGCAGCCAGCACGGGGTGAGATTCATGGTTTCCGTATGTCATTATGGTATGAACACCTTGGCATGCTCGATGACACATTCCTCCATCCAGAAAGTCGTGATTGTGTCCAAAAGGTGAATCAAATGGCTGATAAATATTGGGATCTGTACTCAAGTGAGAGTCTTGAACATGACCTACCTGGTCACCTGCTTCGCTACCCCATTGGAGTTGCTAGTGAAGGCGATGTCACTGGGCTTCCACAATCTGAGTTCTTCCCTGACACCAAGGCTCGAGTTCTGGGTGCTAAATCTGACTACCTTCCTCCTATCCTAACAACCTAGTAAATTTTCAACTTGGTTTGATTACTTTCAGAATTACCTAAACCTTTTTTTTTTTTTTTTTTGGGTGCAATAAGATGAGTCGTAATCTGCAGATTATGTTATATTAATTTTCTGCAGATATATGTTTGTGTTAGGTTTTATGTTTGTGTAATTTTGATGCCTAGACCGACATATTTTTGTATGTTTGTGGTTTATTTTCTTGTGAGCTGATTTCTACTGTTCTTCCTTGTTTATCTTACTCTATAAATTTCTTTGGTATTCAATTTGGGTTTGGATTTGGATTGTCTTAAATTGTCATCTCAATTTGAGAGAGTATTTGGACTTAGTAGGCTTATTTTGGAATTAATTTTGATGATATGAACTTTTTACTTTTTAAGATTCAGGACTCGTTGAGTAGAATATTAGTAGCTATATGTTTGAATTATATTTGTTTTTAAAAAATGAAAGGCATAATTTCAAAAATAGTCATCTGTTTTTTGTAATACAATTTGATTTAAACATATAATTATTGATATTTGATAATTTTGATTTTTTGTATGAATATTTTATTCAACAAGATTTAAAAAGTAAGCTGTTTGAATTGCTGAAATCGATTCTCCAAAATGGCCCTAGGCTCCGTTTGGGAAGATAGATTGTGGGCTTTTTTGGTTATTTTAGTTATAAAAGACAAAATAGGTTATTTTAGCCACAACAAACAAAACATCACATCCAACCCATAATCATTACATTTCTCTCTCACAAAAAAAGTCAAAAAAATCAAAAAGTCAAAAAATTATTTCCAAACCAAACTTTTTGACCTAGGCTAAAATAGTCAAAAAGCCGACCCACTTCCCAAACCAACCCTCACTAAGTCTAAATATTCTCTCAAATTAAGCCTCCGTTTGGGAAGTGGGTTGACTTTTTGATTTTTTTAACTATTTTAGCCTAGGCTAAAAAGCTTGGTTTGAGAAAGATTTTTTGATTTTTTTGGTTTTTTTTTGTGAGAGAAGAGTGTAATAATTATGGGTTGGATGTGATGTTTTGTTTGTTATGGCTAAAATAGCCTGTTTTGTCTTTTATGGCTAAAATAGCCACAAAAGCCCCTACCAAACGGAGCCTAAGATGACCAATTTGAAAGAAGTTAAACCCATTTAAATTTGTATGCATAAAAAGTATGTAAGGAGGAATTGATTTGATTTTTCATTACCTTAAAAAAAAGTTAGTGCTATATGTACTCATTAGTATATATATCAGTGTGCTAACTAATGTCGTGATATTATTATTGATCATATTTATTATATAAGTTACAAATATTTAAAATCATACAAATAATGTTATATCATTTATTAATACACTAATATGTACATTAATTATTACATATAGTATTATTATGTCTTTATAACTTCTTATCATCAAAATTAAATTTACATTGAAAAAGAGATTGAATAGCACGAACGGCTATAAATGATGGATTCTACTTTTACTGTATAACAAGGTAAATGACATGAATTCAAGAATTTGATAAAACATCTCATCTACTAAAGTTAATTATTGATTAATGTTTGGGAGCAATAAAAAGAGAGAACTAAGAGGAGCATTAGGGAGAACACTAATGACCTGACTCTCCCCTTGATGTAAGTTAATTATTGATTAATGCTTGGGAGCAATAAAAAGAGAGTACTAAGAGGAGCACTAGGAGGAATACTAATGAGCTGACTCTCCCCTTGATGTGATGGTTGTCTCTGTTCTTTTTTTTTTTTCTTTTTTCCAGCTCATTAGAACTGCTAGTGCTTTTTTTTTTTTTAGTGTCTCAATCCGCACGGTCAATTATTTGATCTTTGTCTTTCTTTTTTTTTCCAGCTCATTAGAACTGCTAGTGCTTTTTTTTTTTTTAGTGTCTCAATCCGCACGGTCAATTATTTGATCTTTGTCATACAACACTCTAATCTATAAAAATTCAAGGGTAATTTATTCAACTAAGAATTTGATGCTCACATTCTAGAAAAATTCTAGGATTAAGTACACTAATAATTATTAGTTGATTTTATTTTTTATGTGCCTGTATACTTTGAACCTGTAAAAAATAAAAATGGGAAATGACACATTTTGAAAGTTGAATTGGGTAAAATGCGCATATTCATGAAGGGCAAATTTCATTTTATCCCTTATGATTTAAGACATAACAAAATATGAGAACAATTTTACCAATTTCAACTCTCAGTTTTTCTGTTAACATAACAAAATATGAGAACCATTTGCTTATGTGGAAAGTAGGCTCATTTTGAAGGCAAAAGTGCCCTTTACACAATTTCAAATTTATAAAAAATACCATTCTTTTTTCTCCCACTACTATATCTCTACCTACTCCATTTCTACATAGCCATCAACACCTCCTATACTTGGTGGAAAACATCACAATAACCATTCAGCTCATATAAATATACCTATTATTGGCTGTAAAATGGCCTCACATCTTTGAATGTGATTTGTTGCATTTGTTTGCTATGGAAACCCATCTCCCGCCACTTCTGTTTCTGTCTCTACTTTATAAAAGTAATTCTAATTTAATTATGATAATAATTATACATGTATATATATATATATAGTTATTATGGATTAAAATAGGTGTTAAACCAATTGCAGTTATGCATATATATATATATATATATATGTACATTCACATATATAGCTTCTTTTTCTTTTTTTTTTTTATATTATTTATAGCAAAGATTAATTAAACTAATCTTGGTTTGGTTTGGTTTAGCAAAGATTAGTTAAACTGGGTGTTATGAAAAATACTAACAGAAACAAATTCTAGAGAGAACCAAGAAATGAATCTCTGTATATTTTCTTAGCTGTTCTATATGCATACCAACACTTCATATAGACTCACTCCAACAATTATAATTGCTTGTCAACAATCATAACAAAACTTCACTCACAACCCATTAATAATACAAACAGAAACTATAACTATCACAACAAAATTCATTGAGCTGAATTATCAGGTACATCACTAACAGAACAAACGCTTTAAATCAAAATAAAATAAATAAATATTACAATTAATGGGTGCAACACTAATAGGACAAAGGCTCTAATTTAAAATAAAATAAATAAATATTACAATTAATGGGTCCAAGATCATTGGAAAGTCGTGATTGGATGATGGTTGTTGGGTGGGAATGGGCTGCACTGGGAGGTTAACAACCACAGTAAATAGAAGCTCTAAATAAAAAGTAATAATATAACAAAATTTGCAATCACTGTGAATTTGTGTTCAAATTGTTGGGAAGTTGTGATTGGGTGGTGGTTGCAATAGCGATTTCGGTTTTGACCCGATTCTTGTTATATCCCGGACTCGGGTTAATGGTTTCATATTATTGTTTACATCTTGCTTCCCTTGTATTTCCTTAAATTTTGCTATGGGATTGTTGTGGTTGCGTTTGGGACTGGTTGGTTGCTTAGTTTCCAAACTCTTGTTGCCCAGAATTTTGCTTCTCTGCTTGAGTGAAACTTCTTGGGCTGGAGCTGGCTTTACAAACTCTCAGTACTTTTGCAAGCCTACAAAACTACTGGCAGAGTGTGTTTTGCACTCGAGGGGGTTCAGCTCGAGCGGCCATTCTTGCGGTCGAGTGATTGGTCAGTTGTCTGTAAGACTACTAGGAGTGTGCATTCTGTGTTCGAGCGTCACTTCTTGCGCTCAAACGAAACAACTTATTGTGTCTGACGCTCAAGCGTCATTTCTTGCGCTCGAGCAGACTGTGCATATATCGGTTTGTAAAAAGGTCATTTTACATCACTTTTTCATATCTATTTCTCTCCAAACCCTAAAGTTGAGACTCTCTCTCTAAAACCTGCATTCTCTTTACTTTTTCATCTAGATCTAGTGATTTCTCCACCCTTATGCCTTTGTTAAAAAGGTTGAGCACTTCAATACGTTTTGATTCGAATCAATTTTGGTTTCAGTGTCTTTGGAGTTTCTCCACTTCTCCCTTGGTATTCTAAACTTAAGATAGGGATTTTCTGCACTCTTCTATGAGTTTTAACTTAAATATTTGTTGATGTGTAAAAAACATTGAGATTTGAGGTGATTTTGAACAAACCTAGGGTTTGGGTTGAAATCAAAAGAGGGTTTTTTTTTTTTTTTTGAATGAATGTATTGGAAATGGTTATGAGAGTATATATGAGCTTGTGTTGTGTTAAAATGGTTGATTTTGGTATTTGGGATGAGATTGGAAAAAAATGAGTTTTTGCCCTAAAATGTCTTGAATAATTATTTTGTATAAATAATGAAATTGGTAATGGGAATATGAAATTGGAGGGATGTTTATATAAATGGTGGAATTAGATATGTATTATCTCGCATCTATGGAAATTTAGACAAGTTATCTGTTGTAAAAATTGTATATCCGTTTAGAAATAGATGTTTTGGACTATTGGTGGAAGATAGTCATGATTGTTGTAGAAATTGCATGAGGATTGGGGGAATTGAGACTAATCTCTTGATCATTATCATTGAATATGATTATGATGTGAACACATTGTATATGTATGATATTTGGAAGGAGAAAGGGGATGTATTCCATGTTTGGGAGGAGAAAGAGGATGAACTCCATTAAATTAAGTTGGCTCATGAGTCCAGGGTGAAAGTTCCAAAAACTGCGCATATACATAGGTGCCGAATCCCGCGGATGAAATTTCGGTAAAATGGCAAATGGAAGTGCTTGTGTGATAGTTATGTTGGTTTGAAACCCACTGAGCTGTGTTCTCAGTTTGGTTGTCTGAAATGAATAGAATTGACTCATAAATTGAGATAAAAGGAATTGTGATTTAAAGCTTGGCTTGGCATAGTTTTGCAAAAGAGTCGCAAATGGTTTTATCATGGGCATTGGACATGCATCTCATACTTATATTTTTGTTAATATTCTTATATTGTGTTAGATTATTTCTACTAGACTTTGGCTCACCCTATCGGAAAAAACCATTTTCAGATACTGGTGACATGCCTCCGCCAAGATTGTAGCTTGGAGAGACTTAGAGTAAGGGCTCATTTTGTTGTATTTAATTTGTATAGCTGAGGGCTTTAACTGTATTGAGCTAGACTCATTTTGTTGTAACCAATGAATGACTTGGAAAGATGTAAGCCATTAGGGCATTTAAATATCTGTTCAACTTTCACTTTTTGATTATTAGTAACACATGTCGTAGATTCAGGATAGGACATTTATGAATGTTATCAACTTTGATGAATGAAAGATGTTGTTTTAATTTTATTTCCGCAATAGAAATGGGTTTGTCATATTTATTTT